AAAGTTTTAAATCACCACAACATCCGGATATCAACAAAACTGCTTGTGTACAGAGCTGTTGTTCTTTCATCTCTTTTGTACGGGTGCGAAACATGGACACTATATAGGCGTCACATCAAGCAGCTCGAAGCATTTCACAGGCGCTGCCTCTGCAACATCATGAAGATCCGCTGGCAAGACAAAGTGTCCAATCTCGAGGTCCTCGAGAGAGCCCAGATAAGCATCGAAATGATGATCATGAAGTCACAGCTACGTTGGACCAGTCATGTCAGCCGCATGGATGCCAACAGAATCCCCCGCCAGCTTCTGTATGGTGAGCTCTCCCAGGGCATCTGACATATAGGTCATCCACGGAAACGTTACAAGGACACCATCAAAGCCAATCTGCAGTACAGCAGTATCAAACCTAGAGACCTTGAGGACACCGCCAGCGACAGAACACAGTGGCGTGCAACAGTCAGAAATACCTGCATCGCCTTTGAGGAAGACCGCTGCCGGCGTCTACAAGAGGCACGTGAACGACGTCACAGAGCATCAGCAGCGCATAATTCACTGACCGTGAACTTCCCATGCACAATCTGCAGCAAAATGTGCACCTCTAGAATTGTCTCGTACAGTCACCAGAGGGCACACCAGAAGACCAAAAACTGATGATCTGCACAGATTTGTCATCATCAGATTCGATGGACTACCAAGGATTTTCTGGAATAATCTATGGATAACTGGACAACCAGTAGGATCATGACACCACAAGTACCAAAGTAGTGAAGCTTGATTAACTGAGAGGATTTTTAGTCACAATACTTATTATAACTGCTGTGTGTGTTTGATATACCTCAAACACTTGAACAAATATGAAAAATGTCTTTATGAAATATTCAAATTTACAACCCCTTCAATTAAGGCATGAGAAAGGTTCTACTCTAGTTGTCTAGTCCTCCAAAGAGATCTCAAAAACACAAAGGAAGAAACAAGACTTTGTATGCCTTAGATATCTAAGATTAAAAAAATTAAAATGATTTAACAAACCACTTTTATACATCCTAAAGCAGTAAAAAAAAAGGGGGGGGGCACAAAACCCAACCTTCCCCCCACTGCACATAAGCAGGAAATATTTATCTCAGCTCCGCACTCCTTTTCACCCTGCTCAAAAGGAGCTCAGCTACAAAACTGAAACTCACTTTAACTTATTAAACTTTATATAGCTAGCCAAGTTTTCTTTAAATACCCTAAATACACCATTTTACTCTATCAACTCAACAGGAAACTCACTTCACCGATTCAATACCTCCCGTAAAATACCATCTTCTTAAATTCTTCTTTTATGCGTCCTCAATATTTGGTCTTTCCAATGGCCTCAAATGGATCCTTCTGGCAAAATTTTATAACTATTGTTAGCTTCCTCAAATACTTCATCTGAAAAATCTTTAAACATCCTTGCATCTATGCAACATACTGTGCTTGATACTAGTCAACATCCCATTAGTTTTCTTTACTGCTAATAACTACTAGGCTCAGAATTTAAATTTGACTTGTGCAGGCTTTTAAAAAAAATGGGCTTCTGTACTTATTTGCTACTTTGTAATGCAGAAAGAAGGCCTGAAAGGTTTTCAACCTTCGAAATATCAGGAATGGCAAGTTTGGTTTTCACTGATTTGGCTGGATAACCTCAGAGATCTCAGGGTTGTTTACTGTGAGCTCTAATACCTTGACTGAAAGTATGAGGGTGCTGAATCTTTAATATAGGCTTTCTATATTAATAAAAACAAACACGCAAACAAACCCGACAGTTTAAAAAAAATATTCAGACTAAAATTTCCTCCCTTTTTTGACTCCTATGATGTCATCATTATTCTAGTGCTCCAATCACCATAGACCATCTCTAGCCTAGAGGGCACTTGAATTTTTAACCTACAACACAAGTGGAAAGAGATCTTTTTCTCAGGAAAAACATTTCAGCCTTCTTTAGATATCATGAAGAAAAAAAGGATAAGACCAATTTTTCTTTGGGGATCCTCTTTAATTGTTAGGCCAGATCCTCAGTTGCTGTAAACTTAAACAGCTCTGCTGAAGTTAGGGATGGAGCCAATTTACCCCTGCTGAGTCTGTTATTAAAATCAGAACTTTTCCCTACAATATTTTAAATAAATTCAGGGCTACTTAAATTTTTCTTATCTTGCACACTGTTTATACTCAAGGGAATCATTTTACAGAGATTTACCTTGGGTCAAATTCATAATTTATGTAACTCCATTGACTAACAGCAGCAATAAATTTGGTCCATCATATTTCATATTCTACTTAAGTTTATAAGACCGCTATATCACTAAGTTCTACCACCACCTATTCTGGCATCTGTAAATTTTAATGCATATATTTGACAGCTTTGTCAAAATCATTAATAAAAGTGCATCAGTCCAATGCAAGTATCCTATGGGATAAGGCTACTCACCAACTTCTCAGAGACCAAGCTCCCAAAGTGATTCAGCTCTATCCTACCACAAGGCCACCATAATGGGTTTTAGAATTTATTTTTTAGTTGGAACACCAATTAAATTACAGACGGTTGCCTAACAAAACAAAACAAAAAATCTAGAATAAAGAGTACCAACATCAAGAAGACAGAGAATGTCAACCAGTAGTATACATCTACTGCTCGCAATACTACTGTCAAAATGAGAAAGACAATGTGTTATACTGTTCATGAGAGATAAAATATACACACAACACATTGGATAGTGACTGTATGCCCTGGATTTGTAGTAACAACCTAAAAATGAAACTTGTGTATTCACAGCCCTCAGTTATTTCCTCAATTTATGCCCTTGCCATAAGCTCAGTTAACTTATATGTAGCTTTATGCAATACCAAGCATGAGACCGAGGTTTAGGAGAAAAGAAAGTCATTTATTTGCATGTTCAGAGGTGACTTTATCTTCCTGTTCCTAGGCCCCAGATTTGATTTCCCAAAGCAGTTTGCTTGTGACTTAGGAGGATTCCAAACACCTTAACAGTGTACTCCAGGGGGCCGCATCACACAGCAGTTCTGTGGAGTTCTCTCCTACTGGATAGGGTCCCAAAAATAGAAAGCCAATGTATGTACTGTAACCTATCTACACACACCACTTATTTATAAAAATATAATCTCATTTGGAATCCAAGTATTTCAGGAGTGTGACTTAATAGGAAAATTCATAAAAATGTTAATACTACAATACATATTTTTATTTAAACTTAAACCTGAAAAGACACTGTTCTTATAAAGAGACGCTTTCTTGAATTAGTTCAGTTGAAGTTAAATATCTTTCTCTGACCCTGTAGCATTACAGCTTCTGCCACCATAAGAATAAGGACTGGAGTTATACTTGAGAAACTGGAACACACTGGAGTAAAGACTGTTGTCTTTGTTTAAGGCAGGAATATACAGACAATAATGATTCTAAAATTTTTACCACTTTCCTCCAGGAGGAAAGGTCAGAGGAATTAGTCCGAAATTAGAAATGGATTTGGGCCCAAAAGAATTTCTGCAAGACTGGATGGACTATAAGCATATTATAGTATTGTTTGAATTTTAAATGGACAAAAGCTATGTTTCTTATTGACTGGTTGAACCATTTGGATTTCACACTCAAGCATAGACTCCCAGAGGTACACATCTAGGACTTCACCCCTAAAAAACCCCCCTGTAAAACACATCAGTGACCACCCACTATAGTAAATGCGTGAGTGGGCAAATGGACCAAACAGACAAATATAACAGAAGTCACACGGGGAAAGGAGCAGAAAGAGACAGAGGAAAGTGAAAATTTTAAATTTCTCAAAATGTGCCAGCTCCCCTTCAACAGCAACAGAAGTGCCAGTGACTTTTAATGCAACCTTTATTTTATACGCTAAATTGAGAATTACATAGTTAAAACCTAATCCTGAGAGATGCTGAACAACTGCAACTCCTGAAGTCGTCAATGAAGGTCAGCTGAACATAGATGCTGGGGCATAAAATACTACTTAAAGGGTAGCTTGGCTCCCGGATAATAGGAGGAGGGAAAAAGAGTCTAAGGATTAGTCTTCACTACAGTGCTACATCGGTGCAGCTACATTGGTGCTCGTGTGGACAGCGCTTAGGTCAATGTAACTTGCATCGCTCAGGGGGGTGGCTTTTTCACACACCTGAGAGACACAAGTTGCATCGACTTAAGCGGTAATGTAGACAAGCCCTAAATGATGCAGGAAAGTTTAGAAACAAAAATTGGTAGAAAATTTTAACAAGCAACTGTCTCCTCTTATTTTAAATATATTTATTGTTTTTAATTTTTTTTATCACCACATATCCTACTAGGAGCTATTTCTCCCAGTAGAAGGATAAAACTTAAACTCCCTTATCCACCAAAATTGTTTTCAAAACCTGGAATTCAAAATAATGAGCAATACTCTATTACGCTATAAGACACACAATTAACAGACAAGTTTCTCATGTAGTTTAATGGGTGAAGCCTGCACCTGAAACTTGCACCAATAATTTACTAATGCACACTCAGTATGTGCTTATCTGAAACATGTGAAGATTACCACCTTCTCCAGTAAGAAAACTTACTAGATAGAGGTTTTCTTTTCTACAATTTAAATTTGTGTTGTTAATTCAGTATTACATTTTAAATAATGATCAGTGCCAAAAGGCAAAAAGTTTTAATTTGGGATGATTTGAACAAAGGATTTGCTTGGGAAAATATCTGGAAAGAAAGCGGTAAAACAACTATTGTTTGGATGCATCACTGAATAGGTTTAAAAACAATCATCTAATAATGATCTCTCAGCTGTAGTTCAGGTCATGCCATTTATTCGGCCACTTTTCACACACAGTCTCCCCGCCCCCACTGCACATTCCTGCCTACCTTTGTTCTAAAACGCTATTACGATTTTATAATAGTCCTGCTGGTACACACCTTCAAGTCAACTGTACTAAAACATTTTTACTAGCACAGCTACATTTTAAAAATGTCTCACCTATTGAAATTCCACTCGAAAGGGTGGAGCTCTCTGCTTGCCCTCTGGATGGGGCATGAGGTTCCATGACACTGTCGTCCAATAGGTGTCTTGGTCCTGCGTTGGGGAATGTTGCACTTTTAAACTCTGCTGTATTCATTTTGTGTATGAAACTGGAACAAATGAGGATACAAATATTCTTAATACATTTCAACAGCCACTGCTTCAAGGTATTAAAGAATAATACGTAGTTTGCTGTGCACCCCTTGATAATTTAATTGGGTCATTGACAAAACTCTAGTGGTATAACTCGCATGGGTTATTAGTACCAAAACTGCACAATGCCCCTGAGGACCGAGGGATGACTGTTGCTTGAAATAACATTTATCTGAATGAAAATGAAAGTGCTTTAATTTAATTATAAGAACTTTGAAAATTAACTGTATTTTATATGCTAGGGACAAAATGAGGTCACGTTAGCCTCATACTTGCACAGATAGATGTCATGTTTTTAAAGCTTTCACATGAAAGAGATGAATTAGAGAATAATCTCTAGAACATGCTCCTTGAGGTGACAAGGGAACTGAGGAGACACTGACATAGTTTTTGGGTATATTTTCAAAAGAAGGATAAGGAGGGTTGCTCAGCCATGGAACAGATTTAATTATAGCTTAAAAGGAAGTTGACTATCTGCCTCAGCAAAAGGTAAGTGGCATGTGAGATATAAAGCTGGTCTAGAAGTTTTTCTGCATGGGTTTTTAAGAGTAGTCAATATGAAAGAGCAAATAAAAACTCCATGATTTTTAATTGGACTTTCAATATATATTTTTTTAAATCAAATGCTTCATGAAGGAAGAATGAATCTGCTTCTCTAAAAGAATGATGTAAACAGGACCAAAGGCCAGAGTGTCAATGATGCAATTGGACCATATCTAGCTCAGAGTGGAGCAGAAGGGGGTAATAGCACATTGGAATGTCAAAACTCAATACGTATCTTGGTGGAAAATGCCTCTATTAAAAAAAATATCCAAATGTTTTAATTAGAGACTGACTAGAGACTATAGCAAAGGGTACACTGGGAAACAGAAGTAAAAAATGAGAAACTTTATGCTGACATGGGAGAAGTGTAACTGATTAATGGTCTGCAGTGCCAGGGGAACTCCTTCATGAACAATAGTCAATCACAGCTCATCAGAGCATTGGGGAGAGCAAACCAACACCAGTTGCTTCCGACAGCTAGAACTTCTGAGTTCCTGCCAGCTCTTCCCACAGATGCAAGAGCCAGTGTGTAGGAATCCACTGAGACTGGTATTCTCACTGTAGTGTAGAATTCCTTACCTATATAACTATTGTTCTCTAAAAGTAACGTTCTACACAGAACTCCATATTTTAAGTTCATGTGGAATTCAGAACTGCCTAAGGATACAGAAAAGTACAGATCCTGTCCCATCCAACTCTACACAGAAGTCTTGAGCTATAATGGGTACACGAACACATAGTAGCTAACTTCTCATTATAAGCTCTGTTAGAGCTACTGCCATGAATCTCAGAAGCTAACAGGACAAATCTCAGCTCTTCAAGAACTATGAATACACAAAAGGAGTGTTCGAAGAAAAAATGAAATGAGCAGTTTATCATTTCTCTGTAGGTAAACATTGTTATTGCTAGAGACTACTGAGCTAGAAGAAGTTCTGAAACCAGTCAATCATTTGGGATAAATTTCCAGTGCAGTGCACAGAGATTTGGCTCTGTGACTCGAGTTGCCATTAATGTGAGTCTTGGAGATACAGTGCTGTGTACCAATATTTGGTAAAGTATATATATAATAAATTCTACGTGGTTCCTTTAGAGCAGGGGTAGGCAACCTATGGCACACGTGCCGAAGGCGGCACGCGAGCTGATTTTCAGCAGCACTCACACTGCCCGGGTCCTGGCCATTGGTCCAGGGGGCTCTGCATTTTAATTTAATTTTAAATGAAGTTTATTAAACATTTTAAAAACCTTATTTACTTTACATACAACAATAGTTTAGTTATATATTATAGACTTATAGAAAGAGATCTTCTAAAAACGTTAAAATGTATTACTGGCACGCGAAACCTTAAATTAGAGTGAATAAATGAAGACTTGGCACACCACTTCTGAAAGGTTGCCGACCCCTGCTTTAGAGTTCTGTTAGGACAGAACAAATCTGAGAATGGCTTTATCACAACTTTTAAATCGACAGTCCCACTAAAGTGTGCTTGCCTGTTACAAAATTAAGGAGCACAAAAGTCCAAAACAAAAAGTTTTTTTCTCTCCATTCTTTTGGGATAGAGGGGACTTCATTGCATGTATAGGATGTTTTTCTTCTTTAAACAGCAATTGTAGAGGTTAAATTTCATGCGAGCACGTTTACAGAAAGAAATAATTCAACATGTCTCATACAATTGGAGATAATTAGTTCATCTCAAAACATTAAAAGCTGGATGCACTAGTTATGGACTCAATTCCTTTCAGGTATAATTTATGGAAGGCATAAGGGAAAGGAGAATATTAATTAGAAGGATAACTGATTAAAAAGGATCTAAACACCACTTGCTTAAAAAACTATTAAAAATCTACTACTTGAAGTACCATACTAAATGAGCAACCTTGTGAGACAGAATTATTTCAGCTTCACATAGAGAAAGGTGCTCTGGTTCTAAGCAATCATATTGTACTTGGCAGATTTGGAATCTCATGGGATCTGCTCTTGCAAATTCAAAAAATAAAGGAAACCCAAATTGCTGCAGGTAACAAGATGCAATCCATGCAAGCTCTTAAATCACATAAGTATCAGGACCTTTATTATTTTTACTTAAAAAGCAATTTTATGTTAAGTGTGCAATGAGGAAATCCAGGTCAGGTACTCTAACTGAGGAAGATCTGGTTCATCGTTTCCTGAGTCAGGCACACTCACAGAAGGCGAGCTGTAAGGAACACAACTTTTCAGAGGCAAGCAGTAAGACATCATAATGCAAGTTAAAAAAAGCTGATTAACGAATGGACAAACCCTGTTTCTTGCATAAATTCCTTCCAGAATAGGAGCTGTGTTTTGTGATCTTTATATAGAAAGATTGCTAATTAAGTACTTCACTTTTTAAAGCAAAAGCTTTTGTTGTCAGAAGACAGTCCAATATGTAAATGCTCAAACTTGTAAAAGTAAATAAAATGCTGACTTGTAACCCAAGCTGTGACATTTCCTATGCCCATGTGGTATCAGGTTCCTAGGTGATGGGGGAGTTGGTGGGAGCAATGCTCCTTCAGCTGCAACATTTTTCCGTGCACTTTGTGGAGATGCTCCCACTTCAAAGCCTGTGAGCAAAGGAAAAATAGAAAATTCCAACTGAGCATGAGAAATACCAGTGTGACTATTACAAATGCTATTTACCAGCCCTCCAAAAAAACCCAACAACACAAGGTTCATATCTTTCTAAAAATTGTATAAGATTCTTTCTGAGAAAATACTGCAGGATCTTGCTAAAGTACAAAATTAAAATTCAGTTTAAGAGGAGCTGATAATTATACCTCTCCCCCGATATAACGCGACTCGGTATAACACGAATTCGGATATAACGTGGTAAAGCAGCGCTCCGGCGGGGCGGGGCTGCGCACTCCGGTGGATCAAAGCAAGTTCGATATAACACTGTTTCACCTATAACACGGTAAGATTTTTTGGCTCCCGAGGACAGCGTTATATCGGAGTAGAGGTGTATTGTTAAAAAAGCGATAAGAATATAAACATTTGAGTCTTTTAAAAAGTCAAACCATTATACTATACATTCCCATTAGACAAGTAATGTGTCTTTTGGCATACTCTGATACAAAGGAAGCATCTAAAAGGAATAAGGAAAAGGTTTCTTTTGATCTTAACCTTTTCATCTTTATAACAGTTTTACCATTAAGTAGTTATTCCTCCTAACATCATTGTGAACTAAAAGGGCTTTTTCTCCATGACACAGAGAGGGAAGCAACCATAAATTTTATTATTCTATGTCATTTTAAAATAATATTTATTCTTATTAAAATAATAAATATGTTAAAAAACCTGGAGCATTACAAAGGCAAAGCAGAGCCAAGTCAAGTCTGTTGGGAATGGAGAAACTGGCTGTATAGGAATTGATGGGTATGTCTACACTGCAGTTAAAAACCTGCACCTGGCCCATGCCAGCTTCCTCGGGGGTCACAGGGCTTGTGCTGCGGGGCTGTTTAATTGAGGTATAGACATTCAGGCTCGGGTCTGGGACCCTCCCACCTTGCAGGGTCCTACAGCCAGGACTGCAGCCCAAGCCTGAATGTCTACACAACTCGTTAGCTTAAGCCCTGCAGCTCAAGCCCTTAAACAACCCCTTAGCTCAAGCCCCGTGAGCCTGAGTCAACTGGTTGAAGCCAATTGCAGTGTAGACATACTGTATAGCACATTTACATATTGTTTGTTCTTTAGATAGTTGTCTTAAAGCCACAAATAAAACAGGAGAAGCAGATTCAACTTTAGCTTAATAGGTAGCCTTACTGGTTTTGGATGCAATGGTGCCCAATCTGATTTCTTATTTACAAAATATTAACTTTGCTATTTCATTACACAAAGATCAGGAAATTCAGATTCAAGATTCCAATCACCATCTTAATTCTGTTCCTTTGCTTGTATACACTAAAATAGTGTCTTTAAGGAAACTGTGGAAGATCATGTCAACTAAGGCTGAGATGGAAATAGGAGACAGACTGGTTGAAAATCTCTGGGTAAGGATAAAAGGGGTAAAAACAAGGGTGATGTCATGGTAGGGGTCTACTACAGACCACCTAAGCAGGAAGAAGAGGTGGACGAGGCTTTTTTTAAGTAACTAACAAAATCATCCAAAGCTTAGGACCCTGTGGTGAAGGGGGACTTCAACTACCCAGACATCTGTTGGGAAAACAACATAGCAGGGCACAGATTATCCAAGAAGTTCTTGGAATGTATTGGAGACAGGTCTTTTTTTATTTCAGAAGGTGGAGAAATCTACTAGAGGAGAGGCTGTTCTAGATTTGATTTTGACAAATAGGGAGGAATTTGTTGAGAATTTGAAAGTGGAAGGCAGCTTAGGTGAATGTGATCATGAAATGGTAGAGAAATTTGATTTTGACAAATAGGGAGGAACTTGTTGAGAATTTGAAAGTGGAAGGCAGCTTAGGTGAATCTGATCATGATTCTAAAGAATGGTAGGAGGGAAAACAGCACAATAAAGATAATAGATTTCAAGAAAGCAGATTTTAGCAAACTCGGGGAGTTGGTAGGTAAGATCCCAAGGGAAGCAAGTCTAAGGGGAGAAACAGTTCAAGAGAGCGCCCAGTTTTTCAAAGAGATATTATATAGGGCACAAGAGCAAACTATCCCACTGCATAGGAAAGATAGGAAGCATGGCAAAAGACCATGTTGGCTTAACCGGGAGATTTTCAATGATCTGAAACTCAAAAAAGAGAGTCCTACAACAAGCAGAAACTAGGTCAAATTACAAAAGATGAATATAAACAAATAACACAAAGCACAAAACGAGATTAAATTAGCTAGAGACATAAAGGGTAATAAGAAAACATTTTACAAATACATTAGAAGTAAGAGGAAGACCAAGAACAGGATAGGCCCGTTAGTCAGTCAGTGGGGAAAAAGCAACAGAAAATGTAGAAATGGCGGAAGTGCTAGATAACGTTTTTGTTTCATTTTTCACCAAACAAGTTAGTAAAGATTGGACATCTTTTGCACTGATATGGCCTCAACTGGAGCACTGTGTCCAGTTCTTGGCACCACATTTCAGGAAAGATCTGGACAAATTGGAAATAGTCCAGAGAAGAGCAACAAAAATGATTAAAGGTCTAGAAAACATAACCTATGAGGGAAGATTGAATTGGTTTATTCAGTCTGGAGAATTGGGTTTATTTAGTCTGGAGAAGAGAAGACTGAACATGATAACAGTTTTCACGTATAAAAAAGATTGTTACAAGGAGGAGGGAGAAAATTTGTTTTCCTTAACCTCTGAGGACAGGACGAGAAGCAATGGGCTTAAATTGCAGCAAGGGCAGTTTAGGTTGGATATTAGGAAAAACTTCCTTACTCTCAGGGTAGTTAAGCATTGGAATAAATTGCCTAGGGAGGTTGTGGAAACTCTATAATTGGAGATTTTTAAGAGCAGGTTAGAAAAACACTGGTCAGGGATGGTCTAGATAATATTTAGTCCTGCCATGAGTGCAGGGGACTGGTCTAGATGACCTCTCAAGGTCCCTTCTAGTCCTGCAACTCTATGATTACCCAAATACAATTTTTTTAATGCATCCTGTAACCTTAGAGACACATATGCTAGTAATTATCTTGGAGAACACGTGGAGGATGCATGAGGTCCCAGAGAACTGAGAAGGGCAAACATAGTACCTATCTTTAAAATGGGGAACAAAGAGGACCCAGGGGACTATATACCAGCAGCTTAACTTTTGATACCTGGAAAAATACTGGAACAAATTATTAAACAATCATTTTCTAAGCACCTATAGAATAACAGGATTGTATGTAATAGCCAGCACGGATTTGTCAAGAACAAATCATACCATGCCAACCTGATTTCCTTCTTTGACAGGGTTATTGGCCTAGTGGATAGCGGGAAAGATGTAGACATGCTATACCTTGATTTTAGTAAGGCTTTTGAGAAAGTTCCACATTACATTCTTATATGCAAATTAGGAAAATGTGGTGTAGATGAAATTACTACAAGGTAGTTCCAAACCTGGTTGAAAGGCTGTATTCAGGGAGTAGTTATCAATGGTTTGCTGCCAAATAGGGAGGATGTATCTAGTGGGGTCTGGCAGGGGTCAGTCCTGGGTCCAGTACCAATCAATATTTTCATTAATTATTTAGATAATGGAGTGGAGAGTATCCTTCTAAAATTTTTGGATGACACCGGCTGGGAGGGGTTGCAAGAGCTTCAAAATGACTGACAAATTGGACAATATCATCAACATGATGATATTCAATAAAGTGCAATGTACTACACTCAGGAAGAAAAAAACAAATGCACAACTACAAAATGGGCAATAATTGGTTAGGCAGTAGTACTGCTGAAAAGGATTTGGGGGTTATAGTGGATCATAAACGGAATACGAGTCAACAATGTGATGCAGTTGGTAAAAAGGCTAATATTGTTTGGGCGTATATTAATAGGAGTGTTGTAAATAAGATATGGGAGGTAACTGTCCTGCCTACTTGGCACTGGTGAGGACTCAGCTGGAGTACTGTGTCCAGTTCTGAGCACCACATTTTAGGAAAGATATGGACTAACTGGAGAGTCCAGAGGAGAGCAACAAAAATGATAAAAGGTTTAAAAAAATGGGCATATTTAGTCTTGAGAAAAGAAGACTAAGGGGAAACCTGATAAGACTTCAAATATGTTAAGGATTGTTATAAAGACAGCGGTGATGAATTGTTTTCCATGTCCACTAAACATAGGACAAGATGTAATGGGTTTAATCTGGAGATTTAGGTTAGCTAGCAAGGGAGATGTAGGTTAGACAGCACGAAAATCTAACTACAGTAGAACCTCAGAGTTTCGAACACATCAGTCAACCACACATCTCATTTGGAACTGGAAGTATGCAATCAGGCAGCAGAAAAGAACCAAAAAAAAAAAAAAAGAACAAATGCAGTACAGTACTGTAGTTAAATAGTAAATAGAAAACAAAAAAAAATACGAAAGGGAAAGACAG